CCCCCCCCCCCCCCCCCCCCCCGCCCCATTTTTGGTCATTTCCGCTTCCAGACCACGATGAGACCAGATTAGTGCTACTCCTAGTATCCGTATCTATATTCATGCATAACTGGAAGTATATGCAAGGATTCCCCTTTTTTCAGTTTTTAAAACCCTTATTCAAATAAATGATTTGTAGGGGAGGATGTGGTGCTGTTGAAGAGCGGTCAGCGAATATGCGGTTCGGGAGCTGCTTTGGGCACCGCGCCAATCGTCCAGAATAAAGCATATTTTCAAGTCAGCATTCAACAGAATGGTGAATTTTTGCCGCTCATTTTCATAGTCTTATGTTTTTGCTTGTTAATAAGAGCTGAAACCACGAAACGAAGACGCTGATAAAGTGATATCGGATCTCATGATTTCACCTTATCACAAATGAAATCACTATATTCTTCATTAAAAATGTGCCGCAAACATCTAGCAAGCAGTGGATTTGAAAATTAGTAATAGTTAAAGAGAAAGCAGTATAAAGAAAGAAAGAAAAATGAAAGAGAAGAAAAAAAGGAAGAAAAGAAAATGGGAAGAATTTATTTTTAATTTTTTACTACTTTTTGTAAAAAATTTTATAAAAAATTTGTAAAAAATGTTTCGCTCCATTAAGTCGTATACATTTCTTTCCGTTACCACAATTGGACCTCGTTAGTACGATGATACTGACTGAGACTGAGCCGTTCAGGATTGAATGGTATGGGGTATCTTCGCTAGTCAGTAAAACATGGGATACTCAGTATAGCGTCCTTATCATGCAGATATGAATTACGTTTCTTTTATTTAATGTTTTCCAATTAAATATTTTTTTTACAGCTCCTCATATTTCTGTTTATTTTGAAATATAACAAGTTACGAACTATCACGATTTTTTTGTTGCTCTTGCTACTGTTACTATTTATCATTATTTTTATCGTTACAATTATCATGAATATTATTGACATTGCTATTATTATGATTATTGTTGAAAACATTACGATCAGCTTTATCACGATTTTGTAAGAAGCCGAATTTTTGAAATCCGAAACCGATGGTTTACTTACATAATTTGCCCAAGAAAGTGAGTTTATTGTTTTTTAGGGATTTGGGGTATCGGAGTGGCGACGCGTTCGGCAGTTTTGAATTCAGTACCTGTGACTGCAAACTGTTGGGTTCTGCGAGAGGATGGGCAAATTGCTGCAAACGGGGAACTGCTCGGGAAGATCGATGAGCCAATTGAGGAAGGCGATTGCATTGTAAGCATTCGCTTCTTGAAAAGATGATTTATCATTGGTATGGGAAAATAAACAACC